TTCATTATTTGTTCTTTTTTTTCCTTGAAGGATTACACTCAGTTTGGTGGGTAGGTTATTCTTGGTTGTAATCCCATCTGTTTTAATATCTATCATATTCTAATGGCCACCGGGCAGCTAGGTGATATAGCGTGCCAGGTCTAGAGTCAGGAAGATTTCATCACAGTGAATTCAAATCAGGCCTCAGGCAGTAGTTTTGTGACCCTGGACAAGTGATTTAACCCTATTTGCTTCTGTGTTCTTATCAGTAAAAGGAACTGGAGAAGGAAATGGCAAACCTCTCCAGTGTCTTTGCCATGAAAGCCCCAAATGGGATCATCAAGATTCAGACACAACTAAAACTACTGAACAACAAGCCCTCTACTCCTTTAACATGGTACTTGCTAAATCTTGTGTGATCCTTACTGTGGTTCCATGGTATTTGAATGGTTTCTTTGTAGCTAGCTATTTATAGTATTTGTTCTTTGAGCTCTGGAATTTGGCTATAATATTAATGTGAACTTTTGGGATTTTGAGATCTCAACATTTTGGGATCTTTCAGGTGGTTATCAGTAGATTCTTTCAATGTCTATTTTACACTCGGGTTCTAGGATATTAGGGCAGTTTTTCCTCTATAATTTCTTGAAATATGTCTAGGCTTTTACTGATTCTTAAATTATCTCTTCTAGATTTATTTCCTAGGGCAGTTGTTTTTCCAGTGAGACATTTCACATTTTCTCCTATTTCTTCATTCTTTTGACATTTATTGTTTCTTGATGTCTCATGCAATCATTAGCTTCTACTTGCCCAATTTTAATTTTTAAGGCATTATTTAGTGAGCTTTTGTATCTCTGTTACTATTAGGCCAGTTTTGTTTTTAAGGTGTTTTTTTTTTCCAGGATTTTTGGTGCCTCTTTTAGTAAGCTATTAACTGTCTTTTCATAATTTTCTTTCCTTGGTCTCTTTTTTTTTAACCTCAGTATTCCTCAACCACTCTAATTTTGAAAATTTTTTAGCTTTTACAGGAATTCTTTTTGAGTTTGTGTCTAGTTCACAACTTTTCTTTGAGCTTTTGCTTGTAGCTCTTTTGACATCGTTGACTTCTGAGTTTCTGTCTTGATCTTCTTTGTCTTCACAGTAGCTTTTTGTGGTCAGGCTCTTTATTTGTTGTTTGCCTATTTTTCAGCCTCTTTATTGACTTGGAGCTTTATGTTAAAGTTGGACTCTGTTTCCTCATGAGAGAGTGGGAGGGGACTGTCCCAAGCTTCAGCCTTTTTCATATTGCTCTTTGCAGAGCTGGTTTTAGGGCTTTGATAGTTTTTGGTTCTTCCAAGGTAGTGTGATCTGGGGAGAGGTGTGGTCATTTTTCTCCTGATTTGCACTGTGGTCCTTACCTAGGAGGGCCCCTAATCCTTTGGGATTTCAGTTGGTACTGCTTGCTAGAGTCCTTATTCTTTCTTGACTGAAAGTGCTCTTTTCTGCCCTTGAATTGTGTCTCAGAAGTAGATGTAGGCAGTGGTGTTAACAGTTTGTGTTTCTGTGACCAGTGCTGGCACAGGGGTCCCTTGTACTCTCCTTCTGGCCCCTTGCCTTGTTCCCTACCAGCACTGGTCTGAGAGCTCCTGGAGCTGCTGTTTGCTCCTGTCTCTACCATCTAGCCCCACCCCTGATGATGCGTCCCCAGAGGCTCCTGGACAGCTTCCACCCCTGGGTCAAAGATCTCTCCTGATCTCCTAAATGTCTTGGGCTGGAAGAATTTTTCACCCTGACCTTTTGCTGGGTCTGTCACTCCAGAATTCTATTTGGGGCTTTATTTGAAAATCGTTTGGAGAGCTCAGCTATAGCGCTACCAGTCTTTGTTTCTCTGTAGCTGCTACAACATCTTGTCTTTCTTATTTTGGGAGGAGGTTTGGCTATGGCAGTCTGATGAGTATGAAGTGGAAACTGAAAATTGTTTTAGTTTACACTTAATTAGTGTTTCTGAAAGTGCAGTGTCCAGAGGTGTCCACAGGGGTGTCCTAAAGTCAGGAGCAATCTTTTTTTTTCATGATAGTACTTAGATATTTTTATTTCGAATGTAAATACAGCAATAGATACAGGCTACATAAGCAAAAGTTCTTTTGGTTGGGGAGAGGAGCCTCAAGAATTTTTAGGGGAGTGAAGAGGTTCTTAGACCCAAAAGTTTGAGAACTTAATGATATTGTTACTAGTGATTTGGACTATTTTTCATATGAATGTTGATAATGTGGGTTTCTTCCTTTTGAAATTGCCTGTCATATCTTTGTCCACTTATCAGTTGAAGAATAGCTCTTTTTCTTCTAAATTTGAATCAGTCTCTTATATACCTTGGGACTGAGGCCTTTATCAGAGAAAATTTCTTTAAAGATTCTCCCCCCTTCCCCAAATACCTTCTTCATTAATGTAACCAACACTACTCATTTTATCTTCTGGGACCCAATAACCTTCTGTCTCTGTTGTAATTTCTACTTTCTAGGAGAAATTTTTTTCTAATTTGTTTATTAAGTGACCTTTTATACCTAAGTCATATATCCATTTGGAGTGTATTGTGCTACATATTCAATGCCTAATTTCTGCCAGAATGTTTTCCATTTTTCTGAGATTTTGTGAAATATTGAGTCCTTATACAGCTAGGTAGCATTTATATTGTGTCAATTTGCATTCGTGAAAGCTTTTGATTTTCTTTCAGGAGCTAAGCGGGGATTCTTTTTATTTTCACTTTGACCTCTATTTTTAATAAGTCTGAGTTTACTTTCATGGTTCCCTGAAATATCACTATATTTCAGGCTCTTACTGTAGTCATGTCTTCTAGGTTATCCAGTCATTCTTAGTATTTTTTTCTCCTTGACTTATTTTCAGGTTCAGTTTATAAAATGAGTTACTTTGTATTCTTTAAAAATTTTTCTTAAAACACTTTTTTTGTTTACGGAGTTATTGTCTTTGATTTGCCCTGTTCTAATCTTCATGAAATCTGTTATTTTGGTAAGGTTTTGTATCCCTTGTTGCCGTGGTTCAGTCATTTCAGTTGTGTCTGACTCTTCATGGCTGCATTTGGGGTTTTCTTGGCAAAGGCATTGGCGTCGTTTGCCATTTCCTTCTTTAGTTCCTTTTTACAGATGAGGAAACTGAGGCAAATAGGATTAGTGACTTGTCTGAGGCTGGATTTGAACTCAGGTCTTTCTGACTCCAGACCCAATGCTCTATCCACAGTGTTGAGAGTGTTTGCAGAGGAGAACTTGGCCTGCAATGTTAAGTGAAGCAGAGAGGTCAAGAAAGATGAAGACTAAAATAATTCATTGGGATTGAGAGAGGACAGGAAGTGGAGACAATGAGTATGGACAGCTTTTTCTAGGAATTTGACTAAGAGAGCTATATATGAAGATAGCTTGAGGTGATAGGAGCCATTGTAAGTTTAAGATACAGATTCAAGGAACTTGTACATATTTGATGTTTCTGAGAGAGAGAATATGAATGTGGATATGATTGAGGCATATAATTGGCTTGAGGAGATGAGAGGGATCTGTAAAGGTACCTGTAAAGGGGTTTGGCCTTGGTAAGGAGAGGATATATCTTCTGCTCATGGTTTGGAGGAAAGTGCAAGAGAATTGGGAGTAGGCATGGGGATTTAGGGAGGAATAATGGAAAGTGGTTTTTTGAAATCAAGAGAAGTGAGAGCTCAAAGGCAATGGACTCAGTGTCCCAAAAGCAAATAAAGAGGTGATAGAGATTATCAGCTAAGAAAGTTGAGGGGTGGGGAATTTGGGAAGGTTTTAGGAGAGAAGAGAAAGTTTGAAAATGGCTTATACTTGTAGTGAGTTAGGGAGTCAATTGTAAGAGAGTAAAAGGATTACATGACTATGGTGAGGGTCTTGTTGAAATTGGGTAATTTGGTTGTGTGACTTTAACCAGCTCTGTTGAGTAGCAAGTGAATAGGAATGGAGGAGGTTTATGGTAATAATCCAGGGCTTGGATTTGGGAAGGTGTGAGTGATGATAGGACAAGGAGAGGAGGGATTCAGTTTGATATGGAAAGTCATTCTTCTGGAAAATACAGTCTGGTTTTATTTATCCAGCAAATATTTATTGAACAGTTATTATATACAAGGCAGAAGGATTCCAGGATGAATTAGATCATAGTACCTGTTCATCGGGAATCTTATGATATAGTGGGGAAGTTAAGATGAACATAGAAATAACTATATTTTAATATAGGCTGCATAAAGTTAAAAGAGAGGTACAAAGTGCTCTGAGAGTTTGAGGACTGCTTCTAGCTGGGTAGAAATGATTGAAGTTAGTTAAATTCAAGCGCCTTTTTCTAACATCTTTTGCTAGCTGATAATAGTGAAATTGTGCTTGCTTTCAGTACTTTGAAAAAAATTGGCCAATACTAATCCATTGTCTAACAATTGAAGATAGTAAATGAATAGTCAAAAACTGAATAATGATCTGAGTCAGATAAGAGAAAGCCATAAATGGGTTCCAAATGGTGGATAATTTGCAGTGTTTTAATTTTGAACTGACACTTTTTTCTATTTTTAAACAATTTTTTCCTTCTAATCTGTATTTTCTTTGCCCTTTTCCTTGTCTTGGTAAAGGTTAAGTTGTAAAAAGAACATAATTCATTGATATTTAATCTCAGCTATTAATTGATTGAATGAAGAATTTTATAAAATGATCTCAGCTTAAATACCTTAGGATAATAAAATAAACAGGTTATGATAGTTTTTTAAAAAATGTTTTAGCTGTTTAAAAAAGCTCTATTTTCCTTTTTTTTTTGTCCCTGGTGGCTGAGGAATATTTGTGTTTTAAAGAAAGTTGACACTGTATTGTGTAAAAGTCATAGAAAAATTTGATTGAAAATACAAGTCAGAAAATTTTCAAAGCTTAAAATAATTTTATTTTCATGTTTAGTTAAGGAATATTGTATTTACCTTAGATGGTCCTTGATAAGAGTAATTGTCTTATATCATTATCTCTTATCATAATTTGTTTTTCTTCACACAGTGTTTGTAGTTTTGCTGCTGGACTCTTCCCTCCCTTCCCCCACCCCATCAGGATGATATGAGAGTTGAAAGAAGACGATGCATACAGGTGATTCAAATTTTCAAATACAGTTTGACCATGGTTATCTGAGTGAGTGTGGGGATTAATGAAATTCTTGAGAATGGGGTAACTTTATGATTAAAGACACTGGGAGTTATTAGATGACAGGGCTTGTCAAGAAAAAAATGTGATAAACACTAAATAAAATATGATAACTTACATTTCTATAAGGGTTTACAAATACATTATCTCATTTGATTCTCATAATAACCCCGGTAGTAGGAGGAAGTTTGTGTTTGGTTAGGGAAAGCTATCCTAGTTATTTTAAATGATTCAACAGAAATGTTTTTCTTTTGGAAGTAGCCTTATTATCTGAATAATAAAATTAGTATAATTAGAACAGTTACATGTAAGTACCCATCAGGTTGCTTAAAAAAAAAAAAGATCTTTTGAAATGAAAAGAGCTTATTCTAGCAATGAAAAAGTTACAGTTTATTTCTCTACCCTGAGCTTGTTCATTATAATTGAATATCCTTAATTTCAGGAGTTGATTTACTACTGATATTTTAACTTTGTAGATTAAACATTTAATGATTAGCTGTCAGGAGAGAAATATTTAGTAGTCGGTTGTGGTGGTTTCCTGTTCACTTCGCCATTCTCCAGAAGGGTAGCTGTTATTTATGGGCTATATGGTGTGCCTGTATCAAAGAAGGTGCTGTCCTCTATGAGTGAAGCAAACTTGTAGTAGCTTAAAAGAAATGTGAGATGTTCAGGTTTAGAGCCATTTCCACTCCAAATGGTCACGTGGGCTGTTGGAGCCTTCCAAGCTCACGTTTGTCTGATTAGCCACAGTTTGAACGCACTGTACCTTGACTCCAGCACAGTGATGCCATGTTGGTCCTCTTTGAGAATGAAGGACAACAACCACCAACCAACCCACCGTTATCTTCAGGTAGTCATGTTGGTACCTGAGTTCATACTGTTGGGAGATGTAGTTAATTTTTAAAAAATGTTTACAAACTCTAAAATTAAACAGATTGTGTGTCACTTTTGAGTTGGAGTGGTTCAGCTGTGTTTGAATCTCTGACAGGTTTTACCTGCCTGAGTTTATAAACTGTTTAAAAACGTGGTCAGTTAACCTCAAAAGAAGTATACCTACACACATTTTGAATAGATTACTCTTGTTGGTATGGCCTTGGTAGATTGCATTTCTGCCAAAAGGATAACAATTATATTTTTTCACTGTGATAACAGAGATTTTTAACAAATTAATATAATCAATAAGTTTACCTTGTTTTAAAAGATAGTCAATCCTATATTGTAAACTAAACCATATTTAAATGATATAAGGGAGTTCAGTATTTAAAGGAATCATAGGATGAATCTCCTTGTCAGTAAAAGTTCCCCAACTTTTAATCAGGATTTTCATATATTTGGTTTGTGGCATACAACATGAATGTGATGTTCTCTTTATAGTCTCACAGATAATTGTTTGGTCAGTGTACTTGGTATAAATTTGTTTTGACAGATCTTTTTTATCACTTGGAAATAGTTTCCTTAAAAGCAAAGATTTATTTTGTTAAAAATTTCCATTTTAAATTTATTAATATGTTAATATTATTTGTAACAGAGAGTACAGGTAAGATGATCTCTGTATTTCCATTGTATTTTCATTTAATTTAAGCTTTCAGCCACAGGCTGAAGTTTGTCGCAGTTTTATTGTTTCACTAGATGAAAACTGAGGTATTTTGGTTTACTTTTAAAATGGCAGTTTTTAACCATACACCCATACTACCATACAGCTGTAGTTACAGATCAAAAAAAAGAATAGGTTTTTAAAAAATTCTAAGAACTTTATTAATTTTAATCTAAATATACTTTCCAGTATAACATGATTAAACTACCATTTTCAAAACTAATAAGAAATTGAACAACATTCATGTGTTGGTTTCATACAATCTTTTTTTGTTGTTGTTCTTTCATGTGTAGAAAAGGTTTTTATCTCATGTCATTTAAAACATGCATGTTGAATGCCAGTACTAGTAATAGGTACTTTTTATCATGTAAAGGCAAGTCTTTTTCTTGTAAAAAAATTCTATTATGAAATTTTAACAAAAAACCCAAGTGTGTGTGTGTGTGTATGTGTGTGCATGCACACACATATGTATTTAAATGAATATTGACATCCAGTATCTATAACACGTTTTCAGTTACTCCTTCCCTTAACTATCTCCTTCACATTTACTTTTGTATTTGTGTAAATCTTCTTTTTACACAGCTTTAGTGCATGTACAGTGTTACTGCTCTGCTTTTTTCATTCAAAATCATTCATTTAAATTCCTCATGTGCCTCATTTGTGCTTTTAAATTATATTGCAGCATTGTATAACATTAATGTAGTATGATTCAGTCATTCTTCAGTTGTTGGGCACTCAGGTCATTTCTAGCTTTTCTTAATTAACACCTTCTTCAAAGGCAGGGTCTCCTGTTTTTCATCTTAATAGTAACTGCATACAGTATAGTGATTGTATTAGGAGTTTAATAAATGTTTAGACCATTCAAGGGAAGTAATGGATGATCAGCTTAATCACCTGTCCCTCTCAACAGAGTTCTCTCCAACCACTGGTATTCTGCCTGTACTCATTCTTAAATGGATATTCCCACCTTAATACTTCCTTTATCTCATGATAATGAACCCGTCCCTATGGCTGTACAGACCCTATTACCTGTCCCCACGAGGGCTCTGTTAATTCCTTTTAACCTCGTCCCTCCCCTTACCTTCCACTGTGTCCCTTGGAATTACATAATTAACAAACTTTATTTCATTTTAAATTTCTTCCTCTTCAGCTCTTTACATCTTTTGGTACTCAGTGAGACCTGTCTCCTCTGTGATGACGCTGTTTCCCTGAATACTCTTTAAAGTACTGATAATAATCTGTTTTCTCTCTGCCCCCTCCTTGTTCCCTAAATTCTTCTAGTCTGATCATGTAGTCATTGTCTTCTATTTGGCCCATTTTAATATTCACAGAGTTTGCTACTTGAGTAAGATTTTGAATTCTTGTGCCAACCTGTTAATTTCCTTTGTAATTCTTTCCTCTATAGCTCTAATTTCTTTTTCAGTATTATTTTTAGTGCTGTCATTTAATTTATAAAAGGATTTTTTAGCTCTTAAATGTTTTTTGGTTGTTTTATCTTTTCTAGGAGTTCTAGGTTGAGATTGTGGCTCAAGCTGGGGTCCTGTCTGTACCCCTGCACCCCCACCACCTGGCTTTGCTTGTAGAGGTTTTGAGTCATCATTTTCTTCTGGGTTTGTGTCTTGAGCTTCTCAGTCACCATAACCAGCTTTTAGTGATGAGATTTGTTTTTATTTTGCTCAGTCTTTCAGCCTACTTCCTGACTTTGGACTTGGTGGACTCATGCACTTTTGAAGTGAAGTTCTTGGATGGTTCTGCTGTTGTATTCTTGGGTATTGCATGCTCAAAGAAAAACACAGCTTGGTCATAGATTTAACCAGAATTCCTAGAAAAGATGTGCCAGGATCTCAGGGATAGTTCAGGTTAGAGACCTTTTTAAGCTTTCATTGCTACAAAAATATTTTAATCTAGAGTAAAATCTGATCACTGCCCCCTCCCTAGTCTGAGATTTGCAAGTTCCTGTCTAGGCTTAGGTCTGAGCAACAATAGATTCTGATAGATTCAGCCACTTTTAGACAGTTGGGAAGCTGTACTGGTTCAGAGTGACAGAACTACTTCTTTGTGGCTTCCTTCAAGCAAGCTTCCTTGCAGTTCCCATACTCATTCTTGGGTATGGAATTCCTTCTCTGGTTATTCCTCTGTAGGCTTCAGATTGGGCTAGAAGTTTGAGCTGAAACTCTGTTCTGCTCCTGAATTCTGAGCCTTACCACTGTCCTTGCTTCTGAATTTCTTCCTTACTTGTTATACTGCTTAGTGTTTGCTTGCTCTTTATTTAGAATGCTACTCCTGGGCACAGATCTCCTACTTAGTTGTCACTGAATTGGTGATCTGGCACTGGGTGGTGACTAACATAGCTGCCACTTGGCACCTCTTCCCACATCCTCCATGAGGGATGCTACATATGCGTCCAAGATCTCCTCTTGCTATGGTTCACAGCCTCTTCCTGTACTGGTGTGTTCTGCACTGCAGTCTTGGCCAGACCCTGTCTCCATTGTATGCAGACCTCTCTGTCTTACGTCCTTATGCTAACTTGGGCAGGAAAAATGACACACTAATGTTTCTCTTAAAATTTTCCCATCAGGACTTAGTATGGCTGGTTTTAGCACTTCTTAAAACTTTAGGCTGCAATGCCATATGGGGTTGTGACCCACAGTTTAAGAAGTGTTGAAGGGGTCACAAGTAGAAAAAGCTTAAGCTCTGTGAATCTAGATTATTTTGGAGGAGTTGGGGCATGTGGTATGTAGTTCGCTCTCCTTGCTACCCCATCATATTGATTCCCCTCATCAACCTTTAAACCTGAACACCATCCTTCACTTTTGCTGGCACTTAATATTTTTACTATTCCTATGATGCTTACTATAGGTGATCGAAGATGATAAATTTCATCATGAATGTTCTTCAGGATCTAGATAACCTGATTTAGCTGGGATCTTACTATGTCTTCGTAAAGGTTCATACTGATAACTTCATCATTGATTATTAGAAATCCTCTACTTTCTATTCTGTATGCGAAATTTAATACCTCAGGCTCCCGCAGTGTTTATTCTGCATCTATTTACTGTCAGGGCTAAGCTTACCATAGAAGACCTCAACTCATTCCTGAACTAGAATTCTTTTACAACATAGCCAACAACTAGTCTTTGCTTGAAGACCTCTAGTGAAGGAGAGCTTAGTACCTCCCATTTTAGTTTTAAATGATTTTGGCTAGAAGTTTTTCATTATATCAAGGCTAAATCTGCTTCTTTAAAAATTCTACTTGTTGTTCCTAATTTTTCCCTCTGGGTTCCAGTAGAATCCCTAATGTGGTAGCCTTTCATATATTGAAGTCAGGTGTTATGTCCAGTCTTCTTTACGT